AGAGCCCTCTAAACCCGCCGGTGAAAGTGTAAACAAATCTAAACGCTTTCATTCGAGTATGCTTTTTATATTGTTTATCTTCTCGGCACGTAACGACAGGTCGATTTATTTTTAGTTCTGTCTAAAAGTTCTAGCGTTGTTTTGGTTTGATATTGATAATAGAAATGTTTATTAGCGCGATGTATGTATGGTGTGCCGTTCGTTCGTGTTTTAAATAATTATCCGATTACGTTAGGTAAATCTAATCTTACTAATATTATAAATGCGAAAGTTTAGATGGATGGATGTTTGTTAGAGTTTATAGCTTTAACGGCTAAACGGATTTCCATGAAAATTGCTACAGATTTATAGAATAACCTGGAAGAAAATATAGGCTACTTACTTTTGTTTTTTTATTTCCGCGCGGGCGGAGTTGCGAGCGAAAGCAATTTTATATTATAAGATTAGGTTAATAAATTATGATTAAAGAATTGTATGAAATTAAAAGAGATATGGATAAGAGTTAAAACTTTTTTCAGAATTAGGTCATCGCTGAATAGTCTTGCCTAAGTAATAATCTTGCCTAAGTAAAAAGTCCTTTCGCGACTTATTTTAACTGGCGTCTTGAAAATCTATTCACTATTATTTACATTACCACATTAGTGAAATATGTCAAACGGTTATCAGCTTTGTGTGATTTTGTCAATTAGTTTAGAAAAAGTAGCAATTTTCGTGCTTATAAAGGAAAGGCTCATAAAGTAAGCAAAAATATAGAGAAATAAAAGAAAATTAAAATTGTATTTCGACGAAGGAGGAAAAGATTTGTTAAAAAATAATAAATCAAGTGTTACACAATTTTATTATTAACAATTAAACAAGAGAGTTCGATCTTTAAATGTTTGTGATTTATTTATCTCTAAAAAATCCTGCGTTTAGCAGCAAAAAAAGTTAAAACCGTAGCTAATTACGATGAATAAAATTATCATTAATATACTTTAAAATTAGCATATAGTAGCGGTGAGCGTCCGTCGGACTCATTGTAGTAAGTACTTTTACTTTCGGCGCGTCGGGTGTAGGAGCAACGCACTCGATAGCGTGCGGATTTTGTGTCCCGACAACCGGCAACCGGCATCCGACAACTAGCTAGACATTGATATTGTCTGCTCGCAGTCTAGACCTCGACAAATTGAACATTCATTTACATATCTTTAGATTATCACGAGTAAGCACTCTTAACAGGGCCTGTCCCACCAAATTGTTAATTGTAAACGATCCAACTTGTAAAATATGTTATGGAAATATCGGATTTTGTTACCGTATCTAACAGTGACGTCATTTTTTAGCTATCTGAGCTTCTATCCGTGGTGGGACATGCCTTTAACATTTTTAATTTGTCTTATTTTATTTTATTCGTAATTAAATGAAAGGTGATAATGTCCTTGTCATAAAAATGACATTGAAAGATTTAAATCAGACTTTTATTACTTTCTCCGTCTGAAGATATTATTTTTTGATAAGCTAAAGAGTTTTAAATATTATATTCATAAAATGTTTATATATTTGTACGGTTTATATAATTAATGAATGGAATCGAATTTTTTTACTAACGTCTTCGTGTTTTTTATAACAGAAATCTTTAGAAAGTCAGATTAAAATCTTAAATCTATAGAAACGAAGAGATTTGCAAAACAATTTATAATGTAAATTAGTAATTTGAATTTATAAACAGTATTTGTCGATTTTCGCTTAACAAAAATGAATAGAAATAAATTACTATAAGGGGTACATATTTACAGCTATTTATAGATTTTATCGAGAGTTGTCCCCGTGGGGCTTCATCCGCATGAAATTATAAAAAATGTATTAATATATTGATAGGAAATGTCAAAATGACATGACATGACAAACCATGGCAACTTTGCTTCCTTGATGTTGGCAGCAATTTATGGTCTCTTTCCCACATTAAGATTTTTTCCAAAATATTTATCCCCTAAGTTTAATGGCGTAAAAATATATAGCCTAAAGAGGGACGTAAGTGTAGGGCTTTTTATTAAAAAAAATATTTAAGAATATGCTGTAATTATGACATCTTAGGCAACAAAAAAGTGTGTATTGACGCTTTATTATAATAAGTATAGAAGTATAGATTGACAATTTTCCTATAATCAAATATCCTAAATGTACCGATAAATTGTTATCATTTTTGTTCGATGTCAATTAAGCATGCTATGTTAAGGAATTGTCTAGCAGGGGTCAAGTGCGGGCAACCGAGAGAAAGTGAACGTACCCTCGACGTGCTTTTGTTGTAATTAAATGAGCTTCACTGTCACGTCATATTCAAGGACGCCTTAGCTTTTGGATCTCATAAAGTTATTTTACTTTGAAGTGAGGATACGTAATAACTTGAACTTAAGCATTAAGTGACTTTAAATACTTTATTACATTTTTATATTAATAATTTATTTATTTACTTATTTAATTTTTGCACAATAAACACAATACATATACTTATACTTAAAAGCTACGACAAGAATTACGCAAGGGCGGTTATTGCTATAATGCAATAATATTGATAACTGAGTTCAACAACCGATAGGAAATAGTACCAGAAAATGAATAATAGTGACAACGAAAAGAGGGTATATCATAAATATTAGCGAGACAGTTGCGAGAATGGATTCGTATCATCGACAAAATTCGTATATGATTTGATGATACAAATATTATCGATGACGTTATGAAAACATTCTTGCTATTATTCGTGATAAGCCCTAATAGTTGTTATGATGTCAAAAATCTTATCCTTGAGTCATCTCATTCTATATTTAGTTACATGTATGGTTACATTCAATTATTGCAAAAACAATAGCAAGCATATGTCGACCGCATACTTTATATTTTAAATGTGTCGAAAAAACTTCAAAGTTGCTGGCAAGAGTTCCGGCAACACGATACTTTCTCCCATTGCTCCCACGGCACACTTGGCTCAACCCGTTCAGAGGAACGCCCAAAATGTTTGGTGATTAAAGATTCGAGTGTGGTCGCGCCTTTACTTTCGACTTTTCAACTCCACCCAATTAATGCAGGTTGAGGTAAGACCAGGCTAAATCCGCGTCACGGCACGCGGCGTGACATTCACCGTGACACGGAGCGTGACTTTTGTTTTGGCACGTTCAATTTTCACGTCGCACGTGTCGGACCGGATTTTTATCTAGCTTATACATTAAAGCCTCTGATTGTGTCGACAACTTGATTTATTTTGACTGTACGATTTAATAAAATAAAAACTATCGAGTTAAATTCGAGACCAATGTAATTACAGTTAATGTGTGCGTAAATAATTATTACGGATATGATCTTGTCATATCCAGATGTAATTAAATTTGTCAAAAAATGTACATTAGTTTTACAAGTTTATACTAACCTAGTATTAAATGTCGTGTATAGTTAAATCGTGAACTCTCCATAAATGTACCGAAGTGTTTGAGTCTAAACGTAGTAAGGTGACCTTACGACCTGAAATTTCTAACTGAAAGTGCATCATTATTCACTTGCATTTACCTATTTCTCACATACAATACTCACATTATAGTGAGCCAAAGAAACATTTTCTAATAAAACCTTGGTAATCTAAAAAAAAAACACTAATATCACTACATATTTCTCCTTCATATTGATCCTCTAATCTTCTTCTTCTTCTAATGCCTCTACTGGAGGTTGGCCGTCAGCTCAGCGAATCTCACCCTGTCCTGTGCCAAGCGAAAAAGTTGTTCGACGCTGGCGATACTTGTCCACTCCCAGATCCTCTAATCGGTAACATTTAAAGCAAATTAATTAAAAATGCGGACTTAGATAAACAAAAACAGATCAAAATTCATTACTAAGTTTCATTCTTTAGTAGTTATGGGTTATGTTTTGTTTTTTTTTAAGTGAAGTATGTAAACTCGTGTATTTCAAATAAAGAACGTTCAGTTCCATCACCATATAGAAGAAAGTGCCGTCACTCTGCACACAATTACCAAACTGTAACATAAGTGGACTAATCGTCTGTCAGAAAAGTAATTAAAATATACCATTTATCTTCTTGACTGACGTAGAAGTGTCATTGACTATTAAATAACATTTATAGTGCTAAATTTTAACGCTGATGAGTATAATGACGTATTCAGAGCATATCAGGGATATTCGTGAGAACGTTTTCGTAACGACATCGATGAATTTTCAATTTGTGCCGCCCTAGGCGTAAAGTACGGCAACAATTATTCTACAAATTTTATCGATTTCGTTACGAATACCTTCTAACAACTGTCGGGCGAATATTCTAAATAGACCCTCTGACGAATTCAAAACTCCAATGTGTTTACGTTACCTTACGTACGTAGAGTAATATTACTAAAATGAAGAATAGAAACTGAACTCTTTTAGGTATGAACTAGTCCGCCCGACAAAGAATTAACAATGACAGACTTATCACTAACCCTTGAAGCTTTACCGTAGTTTTCAATAATGTCAATATTCTATCAGCCTTACAAATAAACGCGGTATAAACTTGGAATAAACTGAGGATGAGACAAAATGTGTACTAATATTTGCTTATACTCAGATTATTCTTAAGTTTTAATTTATACCGCGTTTATTTGTAAGGCTGCATGACTTTAATTAAAATAAATATTAGTATTTTGTTATTAATATCCATGCAGAAATTGTGTTTTATAATATTTAGATAAGTTTAATGGATATTTTTTCAATAGACTTGTAACTCAATCGTACATTTACCGGTCTAATCATTTAGCTATTCGTTTCGTGGGTAAGGAGTCACAATGCTTGTTCCGAATACGAGTGAATTTCCCATGACACTTGAACTGGGACACTTTTATGTGATATGAAGTAGGTTCATTATGGGAGTGCAATAATACTGTTATTTCATTATACCAATGACTTCTGAGACATTGTCTATGTGCGGAATAATGTGTACCATGAGTTCTGTTAATTAAATTAACTATATTTAATATTGCTTGCAGGTTATGATGCGGCAGAGACGAGCTTTCGCCGTAACTTTTCTTCTCTTATTACAAACGGTAAGATACCACAGTTATTTATAAATAAAGTATTTAAATAATTAATTATCCTTTAAAATAAATATCTCAGGATATGACGATGATGTTATTTTTTAAGGTCGTATATATTTGTTATGTCAGTTACACACGTTCAGTTACATTAAAATTGCTATAAAATTACTATTCAACTGATGTTTTGTCTGTCGTGGAGATAAAACTGCATGTGTGTAGAAGGCTTAACTTAAGTAGAATCTATTAGCCGTAATTGATTTACGGTTAATTCGATTAACGCAGTTAGCATTAAATTGATGTTAAATGAGCACTGACGTGTGTATAAAGTATCAAACAATATACTTGTTGTACTTTCTAAGTGGAACGATGCTCACAACTTGAAAGTTAATGACTTTTAATCGGCGTACTGTTTACCGTTTATAGCGCATCACTAGCGCCGACTAGAAGTCGCACATCTCGCTTGTTTTCACTAAATCTATGTATTTATAGAATACATACACGATAATGAAATACTAAATTACTCATCTAATTTCCACAGCCTTATTTAAATCGATGTTTTTTTTATATATCATAAGGCGGCAAACGAGCCAGCGGCCATCTAAATCCCCCGAAATGGAGAAGCGACCGTTAACCATAGATATTCGCAATAACAGATGCGTTGCCTACCCTTAATCGAAGAAGGAGACGCGCATAAACAAGATATTTCACCTTCCTATGTGTCTCCTCCACCGTCAAATCCACGTTCCCTTCCCATCCTTTTCTTATAAGAAAAAGGGTTGGAAGGAAAAGGGCCTAAAGTTGGGATTCCGGCACCTCACTCATCAGATGAAACGTGGAATTGCTCCCACTTTACGCCTGTCTTCTGCGTGGTCGTGGTATTGCACGGGCCAGCCGGCCCATTCGTGCGATGATGTTAAAGCGGGCTCTACCACTGTTTAAGGTATTGTACCTTATAGGCATTTGGTCAACTTGGGAGGTCGCCTTTAGGATAATTTGGTCGTTATTTTATTTTATTTTAGTGTAGTTTTTATATAGATCTGATATGTATGGTCTATACAAGGTCGTGTTTTGTTTTCTTACACAGTGTTGGTGGAAAATATACCAACTTCTGTTAGTTGACTTTGGAACTCAAATTTGATAGTTACTCTTTCTGGTTAAAAGAATAGTTAGTATATACTGTTGCGATAGTTGTACCAGGGTTTTCGTCATAGTTCATTTAACTAGTTACAATATTACGATAAAGTTAGTATTTATTTAGGTTATACAAATATCAACATATGTTTAAAAAAACACTTTCATAAGTGTCCTTAATTCATCTTTTATTTGATGTTCTAAATGCTTTCTTCTAATAAGTTTCGTCATTGTGCATTCACATGTACACAAGTGCGTTATTTCCCTTCATTTAGCTTCACTTTCATTCCGTTTGTTAGCACTTTTTATTGGCTTAAGATTGGGGTCGTGGTTCTTTTCGTAATATTTGCTTATAATTAATTTTGACAAATTTCCTCTTTTGATGAGTTTATTTGTATAGTCATTCTTATTTTGAAATTTTACATCCTTTTATCTTGTTATCTTTTGCAAATGTTTTCTTGGAGATTGGTTATTAATAATTGGTTTATATGTCTTTATGTTCATAAGTTTTTGTAAACAATTGATGCGTTTATAATTTAGTAATTGCTATTCTTCTTTTATAATAATTTTCTTTAAGTATTATACCAAGTAATACTATGGAATATTCGTTTGTCTTGTAATTATCTTTTAGTTGGTATGACTGTTATTGTAATTGTTAATCTCTTGTTTTTCAATAAAATTATTTTTATTTATATTATATATTATATATAAATAATCACTTTTTTTGTTACTGTTATCAACTCGAGCGGCAAGTGCCTCCGACAACCACATAGTCCCAATAAAATTGGTTGAAAACACACTGACATTTCTAAGGAATTCAAAGAAATTTATTCGCATTTATGTATGTTCATAGTATATTTTATACACATCACAACAAATAGATCAGGGCGTATCCGTAGGAAACAGAGACAGAATCTAATACGGCGAGGGCCCAAACATGGCGACGTCGCTCGACCCAGTAGGCAGTAGCGAGTGGCGATCAGGCCAGTTCCGTCAACGTACGCTATTTACCCGTTTAGCCTTTACTGTGGAAAGTAAGAAGGCTACACAACCCGTCCCAGCTTCAATGTAACTCGATACATTGTAAACAACTCCAGTTTAAAACTTCAACGCCTTTTTCGTTAAGATGAGTGTCCCATTTTCATTCAGTTGAATGCGTTTTATGAAATCAACATTTGATCACATGTATTCATTGGTTATTATGCAAATAACTGAAAAAAAAAAAAGAGTAGCGTTTGAATTACAATCGCGAACTATATAGAAGTGATAATTTTAAGCAGATTGGTGTTTTTTAGGTGTTTGAGGTGGCGTTTAGGTTAAAGAGTATACTTGTATATGTCGGTAAGATAACTGCGAGTTTACATTTGAAAGCAATGAAATGAAAGTTATCAATTTATTTAAAGTCAATTAGAATTGCCTACATAAGACGTATTCATAAAATTTAATATAATTTAAAAACTTTAGCGACACAAATGGTCAATAAATAATTCACGCCATACGAGGGTCAAGAACAAGACGGCATAAATTGTCTCTTATAATGGCAGTACAACAATAGACGTGCGTGGAGAGTAAAAGCCGCTTTCCCGAGCGCTGGCCGCGACATACATCCCTGCTTCAAATCCTGTCACACATTGCTTTTACTGATGTTTGACGTTGTTACTGCAAACAACAAAAAGTAGATAAAAACTCCAAATCTTTGTTTAAGATTGAACAGCTATTGGATCAAATAAATATGATTCTTCAGACTTTTCATATTAAATACGACAGTTACGACGACGTATACAGATCCTTTCTTAAAACACTTTCTTAATATACTTATATATAAATTCTTAATACGTGAATGATTTTTTTTTTAATGTTTTAATTGTACACCAAGATACTTCTCGCTTGTTGATTAATAACATTTTAAATTTAAAAGAAATAGTTACAGTAACGTTTCGGCGAATAAATTTAAAGATATGTAGCCTACCCTCACATAGAGTAGGCTTAGAGTCGCTCAGTCGTTACGTATCAAGAGCAGGTGATGATGATGATATACGTGTATTCTGAAGCTAGTTTGTAATAAAATCCTTTTTAATTGACCAAGAAGCTTTGCGTCAGTGAGTCGTTGAAGTGATACATCCGCGGCGATTTAATGAAAGTAAAATTAGTTCGCAAAGATCAACGACCGCGAGCTGACACACTGCACTTGAGTCTCCCCGCCTCGAGCGCCTCATTTCACTGTCACAGTGTAGTAAACACAGTAGTATCACTTAGAAATATTTAGCTTATGTCTATACTGTGGCGTACTTAAAGTTAGCGGTTGTGGACAAGTTAAGATTTTCTAATTCATAACAAACGTAAGTGTTTAACTCCTAAATATATTGTACTAGCTTTCGCCCGCGACTCCGTCCGCGTAGAATTAAAAAATACAAAAGTGAGTAGCCTATGTGTTCTATCTATCCTCTATGCTCTGACTATCCTCTATGTTTATACCAAAATTCATCAAGAATCGTTCAGCCGTTCAGGCTACAAACTCTAACAAACATCCATACATCCATCCATTCATCTAAACTTTCACATTTATAATATTTGTATGATTACTAATTTTATAAAGAAGAAATATTTGTATTTTTGTATGTATTAAAATAACTCAAAAACAACTGCGCCGATTTTAAAAATTTTTTTCACCGTTAGTATGGTAATATATCTGTGAGTAACATAGCTTATTTTTTTCAAATTCTCGCGGGCAAAGTCGCGAGCAACAGCGTGTTAAATGTAAAGTAACAGTTTTTGCTTAAACTTTTTAACATATCAATACAATTAAAAATATATTACTTGAATGCTAAAAGTGAAAGTTGTGTAACACGAAATAAATTCCTTGGTTGTTTTACGCGTGTTTTAAGCGCGTTCGCTTGTTAATAAAAAACTAAATGTCTAAACCTTGACAAAAGCAAATCTACCTATCAACCTAATTGAAAATAAAAACTTATATTTAGCGTAATACTAATAAATTAATGATATTAAAAAAATACAATAACATAGTTTCCGAAAGAGGATAAAATCTGGATTTTAGAAATTTATTAACAAAATAACCACTCCACTAAATAAATTTAAATAAAACATGAGCGAAATCGACTTAGTGCTAATTTCAATTTTCGTTTTATTTGCTTATCTTATCTAGTGTTATAAATAGTTAGAATGAAAATTTAACAAATTTGTGTCGTTACAAGTATTAAAATATCAATGTGTGTTTAATATGTCTTTCTAGAATTGTAATTTTTCTCGATTATTACAACGAACTTGATTTTTATAAAGTAAATGTTTTCGCTTTGTAATATTTCCTATTCGTAAAGATATTCAAATATTCAATGTTTGCGTCCATAAACTTGTCTCCGATATTAGTTTGAGTCATAAATATTTCGACTTATTAACACTATTTAAAGAATGTACCTCTAAGTGTTTCACAAGTTCCGTTACTTAAAAAAAGTGTTCTATAAATAGGTAAGGCTTCTAACTTCTATATATAAGTATATTGGTATAGCTGTTGGTCGCGATTTCGTCCGCGTGAAGTTAAAATAATTATAAAACAGCCTTCTTAATGGTGAAAGAATTTTATAAATCAACCCAGTAGTTTTTGATTTATTATAATACATACAAAAATACAAATCTTTCCTCTTTATAATATTGGTATTGATTAAAATTTCCTGAATTCGAATGCGGCCCACACGCGCGCCGACCAATTCATCTCTCTTAATAAACACGTGTCGTGTTAAGTTATTACGTTTCTCTAGTAACGTGTAATATGCGGCTAACGTCCGATACGCATTTTAATCTAAAATAATTGTCGATGTCGATGTACTTCAAGCCCACTCATAAATCTTAATTGAAAAAAAAAGTCTTCACATCTCGACTCGAGGCCAATACTTTCTAATTTCTTACCTTGAGGCCAAACGTACAAGCTTTATAAAATTGTTAACGATTCGTTTATGATTTTATAGATGTTTGTGAATAGTAAATTTTCTATGAGTAATATTGTTCGTGGAGTTTATCAGATTTTCTTTTATTTATGCTAGCCATCGCCCCTGACTTCGTTCACGTGGAATTAAAAACTAGTAGCTGCTAGTTTTGTAGTTGTGTTGTTCCAAACTATAATAAATGTTATTTTTAGAATTAGACCGCGATTATTTTTATATTCGAATTCACGATAAATAGATCGGGATCTATCTATCTTTCTTATGTTATAACACAAGCAATCATATATCCGTCCGTCCAAAGTAATTAGAATTAAAACCTCCCAAAGATTAGTAATAAAAGTATGCAATTTCTTAAGTACAATGGTAAGAAGATTGTTGAATTTCATTCGTTAGTAGTTTTCCTGATGTAAATTAAACCAGTCAGACACGAAATATTAACAAAACAAGAGCGGTCAAATCGGTCATCATCTAAATCAAATAAAAACCAGAATCATCAGCAACTTTCACGTCGTCCCATTCGAGATTCTAAACAGATTCAGTGTGGCATCCGTCTAATTTTTATAAACGACCCAGATAAAGTTGACACATAGTTTTTGTCATGTCTCGGTTTACCTGCATCAGGTCAAAGGCGATCAGTATGAAGAATTAAATAATATGTCAAAACATACAAAACAATCTTCGTCAACAATTTAAAAGACTTTTGTTAGTGTATCTAGCAACAAAAATCAAAAAGCTATTTCCAACCGATTTAAAACCATGTAATCTTTCTATCTATTTTCAGAGTGCAATTCTAAGCGACCAAACATCGAACGACAATGGCGGAGGAGGTAATAATCCGGAGACCAACAATGCCGTTGAGCCGTCAACAGACCAACTGGCGATGGAGTCTGCGGAGCGCGACACGCCGAGCCATGCGTACAATGGCCCGCCACCGCCTGTGCCCCCGCAGCACAACAGGCGGCAGAACCCGCCCCATCTGCAGCCGCATCATGCATTAGGTAATGTTCGTACCTATACTTTTAAGAACTCACGCAACAATTCGTGTAAACTCCGCTTAGGATATAAAATCATTTCACTGAATCTAGGCTCCTGATAGTGGTGTAGATAGTTCTTAGATAATTGTATCTTTACCCGCTCCTTAAATCTGTGAAAACCTTAGACTAGATGTAGGTATTATCTCAAGAGAAATATTAATACTGTAAATTTAAATTAACCAACTTTTTTTTTTCATTTTAGGGATGCCGAGAATTTCAAATCACCATCAAATTCACTCTAAGCCGTTTGCTCTGGGACCTTCAGTCAATCATCTGAAAAACGACATAGGGTCCGGGTTCCGTGGCCCGCCTCCGCAACAGACGCCGCCTGCCGATTCACAGACTGCTGCCAGCGACAAAGTATTCACCGGAGCTGGCGATGTTTGGCCAGCTCCTGCACCTGATATGCCGAAAATAGTTTCCCTCGACGTAAAATGTGAAAAGAATGCCATGCGAGTGTTTCTTAGTTTCGATAAACCTTTCTTTGGCATCGTTTTCTCGAAAGGACACTACTCGAATCACCAATGCGTCCATCTGCCACCTAATTTGGGTCGTGCTTCTGCTTCATTTGAAATCGGCGCTCATGCTTGTGGAACCGCGGGCAGTGGAGATCCAAGGTACAGAGGCGATGTTGCTGCCGCCGGTACATACTTCGAGAACGTCATTGTTATTCAGTACGATCCTCAAGTACAAGAAGTTTGGGATCAAGCAAGAAAACTGCGTTGTACTTGGCACGATCAATACGAGAAAGCTGTTACGTTCAGACCGTTCCCAGTGGACATGCTCGATGTAGTGCGAGCTGACTTCGCCGGTGACAATGTTGGATGCTGGATGCAAATTCAAGTCGGAAAAGGACCTTGGGCTTCGGAGGTATCAGGATTAGTGAAAATAGGTCAAACAATGACAATGGTTCTTGCTATTAAAGACGATGATGCTAAATTCGACATGTTAGTCCGTGACTGTGTCGCTCACGATGGCCAGCGCGCTCCGATTCAGCTAGTAGATAGACGTGGTTGCGTCACACGGCCAAAATTAATGTCAAGATTTACAAAAATAAAGAATTTCGGAGCTAGCGCATCTGTGCTGTCTTACGCTCACTTCCAAGCTTTCAAATTCCCCGATTCAATGGAAGTGCACTTCCAATGTACGATTCAGATTTGCAGATACCGATGCCCCGAGCAATGTTCTGATG